AAACCCTAGTTGTTGCCGCAGCTTGTTTGGATTGCTTCCTTACACGGACATATTTTTTTTTCCTTTTTTTTTTTGATGAATGGAGACACCAAACGGACAGGTTGGACACGACTTAACAATAAAACAAATGACAAAAGGAACGGACAAATTTGTGTTTGTTTTTTTTTTTTAACAAGGCAACGGAAACAAGGAATTCTAGATAACAAAACAAGATAAAAACAACGGATATAACGGAAGATACCTCTACCAAAGCTCTAAAGCCAACTGATACGATCCTCGATCAACTTGTTTTGAGACACGTAGCACGTTTGTCCAAGGATCCAGCGAGGTTGTCTAACACTTGGATTGCGGAACCTAGAATCAAACGGACGACACGATTTGATTAAAGGTGGTAGAACGACGCCTTCAATGGAAGGTGGATACTCCAGTGGATAGGTCGATAGAACAATCAAGGACAAGAAGCAAGATTGCTCAACACCCTTGCCAAGAGCAAGTAAACGGCTCGAATCTCTCTCAAGAAGAAGAATAGAAAAAAAACAAACTTTATTGATAAAACGTCCACCTTCAAGCCTTACAAAGCTAGCCTTTTTATAGGCTAAGGGTTACTAAAACCCTAAAAACCCTAAGGGGAGCATTCGGCCATCTTGGTGTCAAGATGGGCTGGCCCATGCTCTACTAAAACAACTAATCTAACTCTAAGTAAACACTAAGGCCTAAAGCCCTATTCGGCCAACTCACTTGGAGGCCCGCTTGACTCTTCATGGGCTTGGGTCATGGTGTAGATGACTTACTTGTCTCCTTCTAGGCCTTTAATATCTCTATGGACTCCATGTTGGTCTTGGACCATTCGGACAAGGCCTTGGAGGCATTCTTTGAAGAGCTTGGTGCGTGCACGTGTGACTGGGCCCAATGGAACTTGGATTGGATCATTACGTGGGCTAAAGTCCGTGCACACATCATGTAGGTATTGGCACGGTCCTCATGCAAGATAAGAGGCCTTGTGCATTTGATACGGTCCTCGATCAATTTGTTTCGAGACACGTAGCACGTTTGCCCAAGGATCTAGCGAGGTTGTCCTACGCTTGGATTGCGGGACCTTAAATCAACACGGACGACACGAGTTGGTTTAAAGCGGTAGAACGATGACTCCAATCAAGGTGGTTACTCAAGTGGATAGGTTGATAGAACGATCATGGACAAGACGCAAGATTGCTCAATAACCCTTGCCGAAGCAAGTAGAAGGCTCGAATCTCTCTCAACAAGAAGAAACAAAAATAAACAACTTTATTGATCAAACGTCCACCGTAAACCTTACAAGGCTAGCCCTTTTATAGGCTAAAGGTAACAAGAAAACCCTAAGAAAACCCTAAGAAAACCCTAAAAGAGTAGTCGGCATCTTGGTGTCAAGATGGGCCGGCCCATGCTTCTACTACGCAATTAATCTAACCCTCAACAACATTAAGGCCTAAAGACCCTATTTGGCCAATCACTTAGAGGCCCGCTTGACTCTTCATGGGCTTGGATCATGGTGTAGATGATTTGCTTGTCCCTTTCGAGGCCTTCAACATCTCTATGGACTCCATGTTCATCTTGGACCATTCGAACAAGGTCTTGGAGGGATTCCTTGAAGAGCTTGGCTCGTGCACGTGTGACTGGGCCCAATGGAACTCGGACTGGGTCATTGTGTGAGCCCTGATCCATGCACGCATCAGTCCCCTCCTCCTGAGAAGGATTTGCCCTCAAATTTGAATCCTCCTCATCAAGAAACTGATACGTTCCTCAATCAACTCATTTCGAGACACGTAGCACGTTTGCCCAAGGATCTAGCGAGGTTGTCCTACGTTTGAATTACGGGACTTTAAATCAACACGGACGGCACGTTTTGATTTAGAGCGGTAGAACGACACTCTGATGAAGGTGAATACTCCAGGGGAATAGGTCGGTTGAACAATCAAGGACAGGACGCAAGATTGCTCAAGAACCCTTGCCAACTCAAGTTAAAGGCTCGAACTCTCTCTTAAGAGGAAATAAAAAATACTAGGAATTTTATTCATAAAACTTGTGTGTAAAAGCATACAAAGCTAGCCTATTTATAGGCTAAAGGTAACAAAAAACTCTAAAGAAACCCTAAAGAGCAGTCGACCATCTTGGTGGACAAGATGGGTCGGCCTATGTTCTTCTAAGCAACTAGTCCAACCTAATAAGTATTAAGGTGCTAAGGCCTTACTTGGCCATCTCACGTGGAGGCCCACTTGGTTCTTCATAGGCTTGGATCAAGGTGTAAGTTACTTGCTTATCTCTTTCTAAGCCTTCTCTATGGGCTCCATGTTGGTCTTGGACAACTCGAACGAGGGCTTGGAGAGATTCTTTGAAGAGCTTGGCCCATGCTCGTGTGAATGGACCCAATGGAACTCAGACTGGGTCATTGCGTGGGCCCTGATCCATGCACACATCAGTCCCCTCCTCTTGAGAAGGATTTGCCCTCAAATCTGGATTCTCCTCATCAAGAAATGGGCTCAAGTCCGCGACATTGAAGGTGGCGCTAACATTGTATTCCTCAGGTAGCTCCAATTTGTAAGCGTTGTCATTAACTCGTTGGAGCACTCGAAAGGGTCCATCGCCTCTTGAGGATAACTTGCTTTGTCGCTGCTTGGGAAACCTCTCTTTTCGCAAGTGTAGCCAAACCCAATCTCCAGGCTCAAAAATCATCTTGCGACGGTGCTTGTTGGCCTGCTGGATGTATTGTTGAGTACGCCTCTCAATGTTTGCTCGAACAGCTTCATGTAACCTGCGCACAAAATCGGCCTTCTTTTTCCCATCTAAGCTTGTGTGTTCAGAGGAAGGTAAGGGTACTAAATCAAGAGGGGTCAGCGGGTTAAAGCCATAAACAATCTCAAAATGTGAGTAGTGTGTAGCACTGTGAACAGCTCGATTGTAGGCGAATTCAATATGAGGCAAGCACTCTTCCCAAGTTTTAAGATTCTTTTTAATCAAAGTCCGAAGTAGTGTGCCAAGTGTGCGATTGACAACTTCAGTTTGTCCATCGCTTTGTGGATGACTGGTGGTGGAGAATAATAACCTAGTGCCAAGTTTAGACCACAAAGTCTTCCAAAAGTAACTCAGAAATTTGACATCTCTATCACTAACGATAGTCCTAGGCATACCATGCAGACGGACAATTTCTTTGAAGAACAACGTAGCAATATGGGATGCATCGTCAGTTTTGTGACAAGGAATAAAATGAGCCACCTTAGAGAATCTATCAACTACTACAAAGATGGAGTCATTTCCCCTAGGTGACCTAAGGAGTCCTAACACAAAGTCCATGGACAAGTCTACCCAAGGATAGTGGGGAATAGGCAATGGGGTATACAGGCCATACGGATTTGTCTTAGACTTCGCCTTGTGACAAGTGACACATCTACCAACCATGCGCTCCACATCTCGACGCATGTGAGGCCAATAGAAATGCTCTTGTAACATGACTAGAGTCTTAACCATGCCAAAGTGTCCCATAAGACCACCACTATGGGCCTCCCTAACCAAAAGATCACGGATGGAAGAATTAGGCACACACAACTTATCCACATGAAATAAAAATCCATCATGCAAAAAGTACTTTCCGTGTGGGTTCTTAACGCAAGTAGCATATATGTCTCCAAAGTCATGATCATGTATGTATAGTTCCTTAATCATTTCAAACCCTAATAATTTAGCATCAAGGAAGACAAGCAAGGAATGTCGACGTGATAAGGCGTCAGCTACCACATTCGTTTTGCCAGTCTTGTACTTAATCACATAGGAAAAGGTGTCAATGAAGCTTACCCATTTGGCATGTCTCTTGCTCAACTTGGGTTGGCCCTTGAGAAACTTCAGTGACTCGTGATCAGTGTGTATCACGAACTCCGGTGGGCGAAGATAGTGTTGCCAGGTCTCCAGGACCCTCACCAGTGCGTACAACTCCTTGTCATATGTTGGGTAGTTTAAGATAGGTCCTCCCAGTTTTTCGCTAAAGAAGGCACAAGGCCTTTTGTCTTGCATGAGGACAGCGCCAATACCTACACCAGAGGCATCACATTCAATTTCAAAGGTCTTGTTAAAGTTTGGTAACGCCAAAACAGGTGCATGTGTGAGTTTTTTTTGAGGGTAAGGAATGCTTGTTCTTAGGCTTCCCCCTAATAGAGCTTGTCGTTCTTCTTGGTCACGGCAGTCATTGGGGCGGCAATGGTGCTAAAGTCCTTGACAAAGTGCCGATAGAAACCCGCCAATCCAAGAAAGCTGCGCACCTCAGGAACGGAAGTGGGGGTTGGCCATTGCTCGATGGCCTCAATCTTGGACTTGTCTACCTTGATACCCTGCGAACTCACTACATAGCCCAGAAACACAAGTTCATTAGTACAAAAGGTGCACTTCTTAAGGTTAGCGTATAAACGCGCCTTTCGAAGTGTCTCAAGAACTAATCTCACATGTTCCAAGTGCTCCAGTTCACTGCGACTATAGATAAGAATATCATCAAAGTAGACAATGACAAATTTGCTAATAAAACTCCTCAAGACATGGTTCATTAGTCGCATGAAGGTGCTAGGGGCGTTAGTCAACCCAAAAGGCATAACTAGCCACTCATAGAGACCGTGCTTGGTTTTGAAGGCCGTTTTCCACTCATCGCCTTCTTTCATCCTAATTTGATGATAGCCACTCCTTAAATCGATTTTGGTGAAATTGACAGAACCATCGAGTTCATCAAGCATATCATCTAACCTAGGAATGGGATGACGATACTTAACAGTAATGGCATTGACGGCCCTACAGTCAGTGCATATTCGCCAAGTACCATCCTTTTTAGGGACGAGTACCACAGGCACAACACAAGGACTGAGACTCTCTTTTACCCAACCCTTACCTAATAGGTCATCAACTTGCCTTTGAAGTTCTTTTGTCTCCTCAGGGCCCATGCGGTAAGCAGGTTTGTTGGGTAGTGGTACTCCAGGAATGAGGTCGATTTAGTGTTCAATCCCTCGAATGAAGGGTAAGCCATCAAGGACTTCATCAGAGAAGACATCCTCAAATTCCTGCAAAAGAGCAATCATACTCGAAGGCAACGCCTTATCGAGTTCAGCAACATCCAAAAGCACATGCTTGCAAATCATGAGAAGTACAGGCTGATTAGAATTGACAACTTTTCTAACGTCCTTAGCCTTAATAATCATGTTTTGTTTCCTAGTGGTAGGTGTAGTGGGTGCTTTGTCATGCGTAACACTAGGTGTGCTCACTTGACCCTGGGTCGATGGCTCACTTGCAGAAATGGAGCCCTTGCCAGGGTCGACCGCCTTTTGCTTCCTCCTTTGACGGTCTTGTTCACACTCTCTTTGCAACTTAAGTTGGTCCTCATACACTTGTGCAGGTGTGAGTGGTGTGAGGACCTTGCGTTTGCCATCATGCAAGAGTGTGTACTTGTTGGCCCTTCCGTCAAATGTGACGTGTTTGTCAAATTGCCAAGGTCTCCCCAAGATGACATGGGTAGCTTGCATAGGCACGATGTCACAAACAACTTCATCAGTGTAAGTTCCAACGGAAAAGGGAACGCGTACCTGTTTGAAGACACGTACCTCTCCAACCTCACTCAGCCATTGGAGACGATAAGGGTGTAGATGTCTAGTGGTTGGAAGCCCTAAACTCTCAACCATGAGTAAGCTTGCCACGTTTGTGCAACTCCTACCGTCGATGATGAGGCTACACACCTTGTCACCTACTTTACAATGGGTGTAAAACAGGTTCTCCTGTTGTAGTTGCTCGTCCTCAACTCAGGTGGTTAGCACTCGTCGTGCCACCAAGCACCCTACTTCCCCTTGTGTAGGCGAGCAATCTTCCTCAGCAGAGTCTTCATCCAGGTAGTCACCATTGGTCAATTCGGGTATCTCCTCACAGTCATCATCATCGGACACGATCTCGCCATTGTGAGTGATTAGCATGACCCGTTGGTTTGGACATTGAGACTGAATATGTCCAAACTCTTGGCACTTAAAGCATTTGATGTCCCTACTCCTAGTCTTAGGAGCCTCATGTGGTGCCTTAGAAGTAGACCTAGATACATCGGTAACTTTGTTAGGGGCGGAATTGGAATTTCGGTTAGGCACATTACCTTGTATTCGGCTTGAAGAGGTTGGTGTGGCCGAATATCCAGCTTCGTGGGTCGCCCTCCGTGGTTGGTTGCCCTTCCATGAGGTCGAGTTTGAAGACTGTAAGGTACAGGCTCCTCGCCTTAGTCTCTTTCCTCTCTCGGCCTTGATAGCGAGTTCAAGAAGGTCATGCATGTCCACATAATGTTGAAGCTCTAAGGCTTCTTGAAGGTCTGGGTTGAGACCTCGAAGAAATCTAGCCATTGTTGCTTGGCCATCTCGATCTCTTTGTAGTAGTCCTCCATACTCATGTTGCCTTGAGTGAGAGTTTGCAATTTGGAGTGGAGATCTCGGTTATAGTAGCTTGGAACGAATCGCTTATGCATCAATGCCTTGAGCTCTCGCCAAGTTCGGACTCGCGGTTCTCCCATTCTCCTCCTATGTCCTCACTTGGTCCCACCAAACTAGGGCGTAGTCGGTGAACTCAACAGTGGTAACTTTGACTTTTTGTTCCTCGCTATAATCGTAGCAATCGAAGACCATTTCGATGCGGCCTTCCCACTCCAAGTATGCCTTAGGGTCACTCTTGCCTTTGAACGGGGGTACTTGAATCTTAAGTCCCTTTAGTTCGTTCTTGGGCGTGTCCCTTCGAGGCCTCTCGGGTCGCTCCTCATCCTCACTAGCGGAGTAGTCTTCACTATGGACCTCTTTGGTGCCATGGTTACTCCGGTTGTGGGATCTCGAACGAGAACCTCGTGTGAGACTCTTGGATAACTCGTCGAAACGAGTGTGCAACTCCTCCATTTGTTGTTCACTGATGCGCCTAAGCTCATTCTTCATTGCAGTGAACAATAATGAGTAGTCGGTGGTTGCTTGTTGTTGATCCATGTCTCTCGTAGTGTCCTGCAAAAGGTTAGTAACAAGCAAAGAAAATGCAAGTATAACCTCATTTCACTCCCTTAGTGTATCACTCACGCTCGTGTATAGTATTCAAGTCGCTCTATTAGACTTACCAAGTACATTTACCTATTGGTTTAGATAGTTGAGAAATGCTGCTCGAGTCCAATAATCGTCACCAACCGTTTCCCACATGAGTAAGCAAGAGTGAAGGACACAATTGGGTGATACTTTGAGCTGGAGTGGACGAATTTTGAAGGGTTATTGCCAGCAGGCAGGTTTGGAAATAATGCTAAGAAAGGAAACCCTAGATTTCCTAAGATGTAGGAGCGGTTCCTAAAACGTAGGAGTAAAAGTAGGAGTGGTTCCCTAAAGCAAGGGGAGAAAATAGGGAAGTGTCCAAGTGAACAAAGAGTTATCCAAGTATTTACTTAGTCCTCTAAACCAATTTGGAAACAAGTTTGAGTTGGAAACTCCCTTTGAAGACCTCTCTTGAGCAACTTCCAAACCCTCCCCAAATCAGTTTCGGCCTCTCCCTTTTAGTTGACTGAATTTCCAGAATCTTTCCTCTTAAATCCTCCCCAAGGTCAGCTAAAACTCCCTATAAAACCTCTTCTCACAGCCGCACACTTCACACCCAACACAAACCAGATTTGGTAGCTCCCTATTTCAACCGAATTGGACCTCTGAAATTTCCAGATTTCTTCCCTCGTAAATCCTTCCCAAAGTTGGCTAACCTTCCTATAAAAAACCCTCTTAGGCAGCCGCACCTTGCTCCAAGAAGTTCGGCTCTCTCTACTCCCAAACCAGATTTCAATTCGGCCCCTCCCCTTCCAAGGCAGTGTTGGTCTTTGTTCAAGACAATAGCTTCCCAAGATAACGCGAGCAATGTCACTCAAGAATCCCCCAAGCGACTTGCTCAAGAAGCTCCTAAGAAATTTACTCCTAAACCAAGAAAGCCCTGTATGGATGCAAGAACGTACAAGAAACTTTTTATTCGAAGGGAGGTGCAAGTTTTCAAGGTTCAAGATAATCAAGAACTCCAAGAACCTCAAAGGGTGGTACAAGTGATCAAGGCTCAAGGTGATCAAGATTTTCAAGAAGAGGTAGGCCAAAACTTTTGAGTTCTTTTCCTTTTCCTTGGTGTAACAAATCTGAGTTGGCAATAAAAGAACCAAGTTTTCCTCTTTCTTGTTCGACCCTTCTTTGTTTTGTTTGTTCCACCCGAATGGCTTTCTTCTTGTTTTTTTTTTCGTTTCTGTTTTTTTTTTTTTAACTTAAGCAATCAACACAACAACTCGGTTGAAGTAGGAACAAATTTCAGAAATAATGTCAGCCCTCACAGGCAATAACACACAACCCAACTTCCTCAAACTAGCAAGATTTCTTCAAGACTTTCAAGAATTTCAAGATAGTAATCAAGAACTTCAAGAAACCTTAAGACCTTGTAGTTCCTCTTCAAGATTCCAACGCCAAACAAGTTTAGCCACAAAATCAGTTTTAGGAAGCTACACAAACAACTTAGATAAACAATTGAACACTTGGACAGATTTGACAACCAAAGGAAAACCCTAGCGGCGCAAGACTCCTAGCCGCACAAAACCCTAGCCGCACCCTTTTTTTTTTTGTAGTTTCGGCTATGACCAAATATTTGGCAGAATTGATGCAACAACAGTACAAAATCTGGTCAGAATAGAGTTGGCAACAATAACGCACAACTTGGACAGAGTTGAGGTGTACAACGAACAAGTTCGCTACTCAACAATACTAACCAAGTGACGGCCAGATTTGTAGCACTACTTGGACAGAAAATTTTCCACCAAGCTATGGCACAAATCAAGGTCAGATTGGTGATCTACGACCAGAATTTTGACGCAACACGACACATAAATAGCTGACAGAATCTTTCAATGAAAACGACGCAACAAGAACAAGGCGAGAAACAAGTGTGGACAGAATTTTGTTTTCTTTTTTTTTTTTTTGTAACAAGGCACAACAAGGACGGACAAATTAGAACAAGACTCAATCAACAAGACACAAATTGCAGCCATACGTAGGGAATTTACGGGCAGCATGCACGATGCAACACCGAACAAAAATTAATCGTGACAAGGACAAGAAACCAACGGACATATTTTTTTTTTTTTTAAGAATAAGGCAGTGGAATCAACAAAACTAAGACAAAGCCACGGATATAACGGAAGATACCTCAACCAAAGCTCTGAAGCCAACTGATACGTTTCTCGATCAACTCGTTTCGAGACACATAGCACGTTTGCCCAAGGATCTAGCGAGGTTGTCCTACGTTTAAATTGCGGGACTTTAAATCAACACAGACGGCATGTTTTGATTTAGAGCGGTAGAATGACACTCCGATGAAGGTGAATACTCCAGGGGAATAGGTCGGTTGAACAATCAAGGCCAGGATGCAAGATTGCTCAAGAACCCTTGCCAACGCAAGTTAAAGGCTCGAACTCTCTCTTAAGAGGAAATCGAAAATACTAGGAATTTTATTCATCAAACTTGTATCCTCCATCTTACAAAGATAGCTTATTTATAGGCTAAAGGTAACAAAAAATCCTAAAGATACCCTAAAGAGCAGTCGGCCATCTTGGTGGACAAGATGGGCCAGCCCATGTTCTCCTAAGCAACTGGTCCAACCTAATAAGTATTAAGGTGCTAAGGCCCTACTCAACCGTCTCACGTAGAGCCCCACTTGGAGGCTCACTTGGTTTTTCATAGGCTTGGATCAAGGTGTAAGTTACTTGATTATCTCTTTCTAAGCCTTCAATTTCTCTATGGGCTCCATGTTGGTCTTGGACAACTCGAACGAGGGCTTGGAGGGATTCTTTGAAGAGCTTGGCCCATGCACGTGTGACTGGGCCCAATGGAACTCGGACTGGGTCATTGTGTGGGCCCTGATCCATGCACATATCAAAACGGGTTCAAATCCGTGACATTAAAGGTCATGCTAACATTGTACTCCCCAGGTAGCTCCAATTTGTAAGCGTTGTCATTAACTCGTTGGAGCACTCGGAAGGGTCCATAACCTCTTGGGGACAACTTGCTTTGTCGCTACTTGGGGAATCTTTCCTTTCGCAACTGTAGCCAAACCCAATCTCCAGGCTCAAAAATCATCTTACGACGGTGCTTGTTGGCTTGCTGGATATATTGTTGAGTACGCCTCTCAATGTTTGCCCGAATAGCTTCATGTAACCTGCGCATAAATTCAGCCTTCTCTTCCCATCTAACCTTGTGTGCTCAGAGAAAGGTAAGGGTACTAAATCAATGGGGGTCAGCGGGTTAAAGCCATAAACAATCTCAAAGGTTAGTAGTATGTAGCACTGTGAACAGTTCGATTGTAGGCAAATTCAACATGAGGCAGGCACTCTTCCTAAGTTTTAAGATTCTTTTTAATCAAAGCCTGAAGTAGTGTGCCAAGTGTACAATTGACAACTTCAGTTTGTCCATCGCTTTGTGGATGACTGGTGGTGGAGAATAACAATCCAGTACCAAGTTTAGACCACAAAGTCTTCCAAAAGTAACTGATGTGTGCATGGGTCAGGGCCCACGCAATGACCCAGTCCGAGTCCCATTGGGCCCAGTCACACGTGCACGGGCCAAGCTCTTCAAAGAATCCCTCCAAAGCCTTGTTCGAGTTGTCCAAGACCAACATGGAGCCCATAGAGATATTGAAGGCTTAGAAAGAGACAATCAAGTAACTTACACCTTGATCCAACCCCATGAAGAATCAAGTGGGCCTCTTTGTGAGTCGGCCGAGTAGGGCCTTAGTCTTTATTACTTCTTTAGTTGGATTAGTTGCTTGGTAGAAGACATGGGCCGGCCCATCTTGGAGTCAAGATGGCCGACTCCCTACTTAGGGTTTTTTTTAGGGTTTTTGTGTTACCTTTAGCCTATAAATAGGCCAGCTTTGTAAGATTAATGATACAAGTTTTATGAATACAATTCTTAGTATTTTCGTTTTCTTCCTAAGAGAGAATTCGAGCCTCTAACTTGCTTTGGCAAGGGTTCTTGGGCAATCTTGCTTCCTGTCCTTGATTGTTCAGCCGACCTATTCCCTTGGAGTATTCACCTTCATCGGAGTGTCGTTCTACCACTTTAAATCCAAGCATGCCGTCCGTGTTGATTTAAAGTCCCGTAACCCAAACGTCGGACAACCTCGCTAGATCCTTGGGCAAACGTGCTACGTGTCTCAAAACGAGTTGATCGAGGAATGTATCAGTTGGCTTCAGAGCTTTGGTTGAGGTACCTTCCGTTATATCCGTTATTTTGTCTTAAGTTCCGCTGCCTTGTGTCAAAAATTTTTTTTTTCTGACCGTGTAGTGTCTTGGCCCTTGTTGCGTCGTTTCATTGAAAAATTCTGTCCGCTACTTGTGTGTTGTATTGCTTCTAAATTCTGGTTGTAGATTGTCACCAATCTGACCTTGATTTTGGTGGAAAATTTTCTGTCCAAGTAGTGCTACGAATCTGGCCATCACTTGGTAGTATTTTGAGTCATGAACTTGTTCGTTGTGCACCCCAATTCTGCCCAAAGTTGTGCGTCTATTGCTAGCTCTAATCTGACCAGATTTTGGTACTCTTGTTGCATCAATTCTGCCCAGCTTTTGGTCCTAGCCGAAACTACAAAAAAAAAAGAGAGAAAAAAAAGGTGCGGCTAGGGTTTTGCGCAGCTAGGGTTTTGTGCGGCTAGTGATATGAACGCGCAGATCTAGATGAACAATCAAGTTGAAAAGGCGGACACGTATGACCCCTCTAAACCACGAGTTGATGAACTAAGACGAATCTCAACCCAACAACTAACGATTTAGTGAACCAACGATTTGGATAGAAGAACGCCACAATCAAGGTGTATACTTGGTTGATAAGTTCAATTTGAATAACTCAAGAAAACTCTCAAGTATCCAAGCAAAGCTCTCTTTGAAGAGAAAAGTGAATAAACTCACAAAAATTATCTAATTTCTGAATCCCTTAACAAGGAGGAAGTATGGCTATTTATAGCCTTTACAAGAATTAACCCTAATCCCAAAATTGACTAAACTAACCCTACCAATTAATGAAAAGGATTCGGCCAGCCCTAAGTTCATAATGGACTGACTTTAACTAATATTTAACTATAAAAGGATAAATAATAGAACTAACTTAACTCCTCCTTAAGCGTGACCCCTAGGCGAGGCACGCCTAACTAGCAACAGGCGCTGGAGGGTCTTCTACTTGGAGCAAAGTGTAAAGTTTTGAATCTTCATTCTCCAAGCCTTCAATAATCTTTAAATCATCTCCAATGCGACCTTGGATTGTACTCACAAGGGCTTGTAAAGATTCACGCATCTTCTTGGCACGAGCTCTTGTGACTGGACCACTTGGTACTTGAATGACTTGTGCAACTTGTGTTTGACCAGCCTTGAGCCCCTCATCAATCCCCTCCTCTTGAAGGCGATTTGTCCCCAAATCAAGCTCGTCATCTGCATGAAAAGGACTCAAGTCAGCCACATTGAATGTAGCATGTACTCCATACTCACCTGGAAGGTCAAGTTTGTAGGCATTGTCATTGATGCGCTCCACAACTTGAAATGGGCCATCACCCCGTGGAAGTAGTTTGTTGCGCCTTTGGATTGGAAAACGCTCCTTTCTCATGTGTATCCAAACCCAATCACCTGGTTCAAACACCATCTTGCGACGTCCCTTGTTGGCGCTTTGAATGTATTGAAGGGTACGTTTCTCAATATTAGCTCTAGCTTTGGTATGCAAATCCCGCACGAACTCAGCCTTTTTCTTACCGTCTAGGTTAACTCTCTCAGAAATAGGTAAAGGAGACAAGTCTAAAGGTGTGAGAGGGTTAAATCCATAAACAATTTCAAAAGGTGAAAATTGAGTAGAAGTATGCACATTGCGATTATATGCAAATTCAACATGAGGCAAGCAATCTTCCCAAGATTTAATGTTCTTTTTAATAATTGCTTGCAACAATGTAGATAAAGTCCGATTAACCACTTCAGTTTGTCCATCAGTTTGTGGGTGACTAGAAGTAGAAAAAAGCAATTTAGTCCCTAGTTTACACCACAAAGTTTTCCAAAAGTAGCTAAGGAACCTTACATCCCTATCAGAAACAATGGTACGAGGTACCCCATGTAAACGCACTATGTCTCTAAAGAATAAATCAGCCACATGTTTAGCATCATCAGTTTTATGGCAAGGAATGAAGTGAGCCATCTTTGAGAAACGATCAACTACCACATAAATGGAATCATGCCCTTGTCTAGTTCTAGGCAATCCAAGTACAAAGTCCATAGACAAATCTACCCAAGGTCATGTGGGATGGGTAAAGGAGTGTAGCATCCATAAGGATGTACCTTTGATTTTGCTTGGTGACAAGTTACACACCTTTGTGTATGCCTCTCGACATCGCTCTTCATGCGAGACCAGTAGAAATGCTCTTGGAGAATTGACAAGGTCTTGGCCACTCCAAAATGTCCCATGAGGCCTCCACCATGAGCCTCTCTAACCAACAAAAGTCGCATGGAGCACATTGGAATACATAGTTTACCTTTGTAGTACAAGAACCCCTGCGACATAGAATAATGCTCACGAGTAACCCGTGGCAAGGTGGTGAAAATCTCACCAAAGTCTAGGTCAGCTGTATATAAATCCTTAATGAATTCAAAGCCAAGCAACTTAGTGTCTAGTGTAGTGATTAGTGTATACCTTCTAGAAAGTGCATCAGCCACTACATTAGTCTTTCCAACCTTATATTTGATGACAAACACAAAACTATCAATGAAAGCCACCCATCTCGCATGCCTTTTGCTCAATTTGGTTTGTGATTTGATGTGTTTGAGCGATTCATGATCAGTGTGGAGTATGAATTCCCGAGGTCTGAGGTAGTGTTGCCAAGTTTGGAGAGCTCGCACCAAGGCCATCAACTCCTTGTCATAAGTTGAGTAGTTCAACGAAGCACCATTCAACTTCTCACTAAAGTAGGCCACTGGTTTCCCCTCTTGAATGAGCACAACTCCAATACCTATACCAGAAGCATCACACTCTACTTCAAAAGCCTTGTCAAAATTAGGTAAACTTAATACAGGTGCATGTGTGAGCTTGTGTTTAAGTAATTGGAAAGACTTAGCTTGTTCTTCTTCCCATTGGAATGGCACATTTTTCTTGATAATGGCTGTAAGTGGGGCAGCAATGGTGCTGAAATCCTTGACAAAGCGTCTATAGAAGCTTGCCAAGCCATGAAAACTCCTTACCTCACTTACACTGGTTGGTATTGGCCATTCATTTATGGCCTTCACCTTTTCTTGGTCAACTCGTATTCCCTGGTCACTCACAACATAACCTAGGAAGACAAGTTGATTAGTGCAAAAAGTACACTTCTTAAGGTTAGCATAGAGGCTCGCCTTTCGAAGTGCATCTAAGACCATTCGTACATGCACAACATGCTCTTCTGCACTCTTACTATAGATCAAGATGTCATCAAAGTAGACTACCACAAATTTACCAATAAAAGAACGCAAAACATGGTTCATTAACCTCATGAATGTACTAGGTGCATTAGTTAAGCCAAAAGGCATGACCAACCACTCATACAGACCATGTTTTGTTTTAAATGCTGTTTTCCACTCATCCCCTTCTTTCATGCGTATTTGGTGATAACCACTTTTCAAGTCAATCTTAGTAAATATAATAGCACCATGTAACTTATCAAGCATGTCATCTAATCGAGGTATGGGATGGCGATACTTTACCGTTATGGCATTTATGGCTCTACAATCGGTGCACATCCTCCATCCTCCATCTTTCTTTGGCACAAGTAGGACAGGTACAACACAAGGACTTAGACTCTCTTGAATCCAGCCCTTACTAAGCAAGTCCTCTACTTGCCTTTGTTGCTCCTTAGTTTCCTCCGGATTAGTCCTATATGGTGCCTTATTAGGAAGGGAAGAGCCAGGAATGAAATCAATTTGATGTTCAATTCCCCTCAAAGGTGGCAACCCATTAGGTATATCCTCAGGAAATACATCTTGGTACTCCTGTAAAAGGTTAGCAATAGCACTAGGCAAAGAAGCACCAAGTTCATTAGTGAGCAAAGACTCTTTACAAAACAAGATAAGCAAAATCTGGTTAGAGTGCAAAGCCTTTCTCATATCTCTAGTTCTAGCAAGCATGATGGATTTTCTCTCCTTTTTTCCTTCAATGGCCGAATGTGAAGTGTCAATTTTATGAGAAGATGGTTCGGCCATTTTGCTCTTTGTATCATGCAAATTTTTCTTTTTAATGTCACAATGCATGTCATATTCCTTTTGCAACCCAATTTGGTCCTCATGCACTTGTTGAGGTGTAAGAGGTGCAAGTGTGATCTTTTTAGTATTGTGCACAAAGGAATACTTATTCAAGAATCCATAAAAAATGACCCTTTTATCAAATTACCATGGCCGACCCAAAATAATATGAGTAGCTTGCATAGGCACACCATCACATAAAACATCATCTTTATATCTACCAATGGCACAATTAATTAAAACTTGCTTATGAACACGTACCTCACCACTGTTATTCAACCATTGTAGTTTGTAAGGTCGGGGGTGATCATTTGTTGGCAAGTTCAATCGTTCCACCATAAGTGCACTAGCAACATTGGTACAGCTCCCTGGGTCAATTACCAAGCTACAAAGCTTGTCCAATTACCAAGCTACAAAGCTTGGCACCTTGAGTAAAATATGTTCTCTCGTTGAAGGTCATCTCTACCAGCTTGAGTAGTTAGAGCTCGCCTTGCAACCATACCAACTTTACCATGAGCTGGTATCTCCTCAAATTCCTCATCTTCCTCGACCAAGGGAGGCATGTCCTCACACTCATCCTCCTCATCCGTTTGTACTTCCCCATTTGGTAGCATAAGCATAACCCTTTGATTTGGGCATTGGGAAGCAATATGTCCAAATCCTTGACACTTAAAGCACTTAGTGTCTCGGTATCGAACTTTGCTTACCTCATGAGTAGGCCTACCATCGCCCCTTGAGGGTGGTTTTGAGGAAGTTGCATTCGGCCTTAGTGATTCCTTGGTTGTCCCACCTTGTTTGGTCAAAGGGAATGCACTAGAGGGGCTGACCTCCCTCTTGAAGGGTTGGTCTCTCCAATTTCCAGCTTGAAAGTTGGAATTTTGTCGAATTGGACCCCTCCTCTTGAGCCTCCTTTCAATCTTAATAGCTTTGTCTAGCATATCATGGAGGTCCACATAATGGTGCATCTCCACTTGATCCGCTATTTCAGGCCTCAATCCACTTAAAAATCGTGCCATAGTAGCTTCCCGGTCCTCGACAATGTCAGCCCTTAACATGGCTATCTCCATCTCCTTATGGTAGTCCTCCACGCTTTTGGTTCCTTGTGTCAAATTTTGAAGTTTGAGGTACAAGTCACGGTGGTAGTGACTAGGAACAAAGCGTTTTTTCATGACACCCTTCAATTCGGTCCATGTAGTGATAGGGTATTCACCACTTCGCCTTCTACTAGTAGTGATTTGATCCCACCACACTATGGCGTAGTCGGTGAATTGCATGACTGCAAGTCTCATTTGCTGCTCCTCGGTGTAATCATTGCAATCAAAGATCAACTCCACTCGTTTCTCCCATTCCAAATAGACATCGGGGTCGGATTTGCCTTGGAAAGTAGGCAATTGCATTTTAACGCCTTTGATTGGATCCACACCAGCTTTGCGGTGTTTATTCCTCCATGTCCTCGACCCATATTCCTCCTCGGAGTTGGAACTTTCATAGTCACGGGTTGGCGCTTTGTGTCTCCGGGACTTAGAATTGGTTTGGGAGTGTTCGAGACTATCCATCCTCTCATGCAATGGTTCTAATTCCTGTTTCATTATCTTGAGCAATTTATCAGTCATAGCATCCATCACAAGTTTAATATCAAAAGGAGTAGTTTCCTTCCCTTCGGACATGTTGAGGTATTCCTGCAAAAATAGGGTTAGTGGAAATAACACCTCACTCACTCCCTTAGTATATCACTCACACTCGTGTTTCACTCAAGTGTATTAAAACACTCTAATGATCTCACCAATCACTTCTCAAGTCACTAGATTGCTTTTCTTGAAGAAATCAGAATTTTCTTGAAGAAATTCAATCAAACTTGAACCAAATTACACCCAAGTGTGGCGGATGAAGGCTGTGATTTTTGGAAGTTTATTGGACTGATTTTAAGACACAAAAGGAAATGTATAATATGCTGGAAAAATACCCTAAGCTGTCCGCCCAAGAAAAAAAAATCAAGAAAAGGGAAAGTTTGGTTTGTGACTAGTAGCTAATTTTAGGAGTTAACTACCAAGTGGAATCCAAAACTGATTAGGACTCTTGGGACTTGTAAACCACGTTTTTATTGGCTGGAAATACTATAAAATATGCACCAAGGATCGGCTGGGCAGTTGGCACAAACCACAATCAAGAAACAAAAGCAAGAGGTGGCTACAAAGTAGGAAACCCTATCTTATCTTCCCACCTTGTGTGGCTATTTAATAGCAAGGTTTCTTGGTTGTTTTGGGGTGTTAATGGCTGCTGGTTTTCTGGTATTTCGTGGACAAAGAGAGGCGGCCAATAGTTCAAGATTGAAGGCAACAAGGTTTGTTCTTTCAACCCAAGCTCGGCTAGGCTACCCAAGCAAATTATTTTCTTGTTCTTGAAATCCGATTTGTGTTTTCTTTTTCTTTCTTGCGTTGTTTTTTTTTTTTTTTTGCAAGATGGATCTTTCTTTCTTTTTCAATTCGGATCCTACACACAAGAAACAAGATCTTTGTGTCAAATTTGAGCAAGGGCAGCTGCAAGTTCGAGACAAGAACTTTGGTTTTGTTTTGAAGGTTCAAGATTTGGAAAGGTTGAGAACAAGATTTTCAAGAACCCTTGTTTTCCCACCCAAGAACTTCAAGATTCAATCAAAATTTCCAGATTTCAATAGTTTGAACAACAATATCCAACAAAAACTTGATGGCAGTCCACGAAAATTCAAGAAACTACAAAACCCTAGCGTAATTTCCAAGAAAAACCCTAACACCAATTTTCAAGAAGTTCAAGATATCAATTTTGCAGCCCAAGAACATCAAGATTCAATCCCCACAATATCAAGGAAGCTAGGAAATTTCAAGGTCAGCCATGGTTTCATCAAGACACAACCAGAAAATAGGTTTTTCCCTCATGAACAGTGTTTTCGGGTGAATAGTACCCGATGAACAGTACCCTTTTTTTTTTGGGATGACTCTATATGAATTCAAGACTTCAAGATACAAGACGCAAGACCCACGAAATCAAGACACACGATGGATGAATTGCGGACAACAACCAACACGAAAATTCAAGACAATCAACGAAAACAAGGATAAACAACAAGAACACAAGATAAAACCCTAGCCGCCTATGGAATTCCTATACGACCAGAATTTAACACTATAAGAAATGGAAAAAAAAATTTTCTTTAAGGAAAACTTACAAGATGCAATGGGATATACTTGATGTCGTCGACTAGCTCTTGATACCAACTGATATGAACGCGCGGATCTAGACGAACAATCAAGTTGAAAAGGCGGCACGTATGACCCCTCTAAACCCCGAGTTGATGAACTAAGACGAATCTCAACCCAACAACTAACGATTTAGTGAACCAACGATTTGGATAGAAGAACGCCACAATCAAGGTGTATACTTGGTTGATAAGTTCAATTTGAATAACTCAAGAAAACTCTCAAGTATCCAAGCAAAGCTCTCTTCGAAGAGAAAAGTGAATAAACTCACAAAAAATTATCTAATTTCTGAATCCCTTAACAAGGAGGAAGTATGGCTATTTATAGCCTTTACAAGAATTAACCCTAATCCCAAAATTGACTAAACTAACTCTACCAATTAATGAAAAGGATTCGGCCAGCCCTAAGTTCATAATGGACTGACTTTAACTAATATTTAACTATAAAAGGATAAATAATAGAACTAACTTAACTCCTCCTTAAGCGTGACCCCTAGGCGAGGCACGCCTAACTAGCAACAGGCGCTGGAGGGTCTTCTACTTGGAGCAAAGTGTAAAGTTTTGAATCTTCATTCTCCAAGCCTTCAATAATCTTTAAATCATCTCCAATGCGACCTTGGATTGTACTCACAAGGGCTTGTAAAGATTCACGCATCTTCTTGGCACGAGCTCTTGTGACTGGACCACTTGGTACTTGAATGACTTGTGCAACTTGTATTTGACCAGGCTTGAGCCCCTCATCAGCTAGGGTTTTCCTTTGGTTGTCACATCTATCCAAGAGTTCAATTGTTTATCTAAGTTGTTTACGTAGCTTCCTAAACTGGTTTTGTGGTTAAACTTGTTTGGACATCTATCGTTTCCGTAAAAAAAAAAAGGTTAAACTTGTTTGGTGTTGGAATCTTGAAGAAAAACTACAAGGTCTTAAGGTTTCTTGAAGTTCTTGATTACTAACTTGAAATTCTTGAGAGTCTTGAAGAAATCTTGCTAGTTGAGGAAGTTGGGTTGTGTGTTATTGGGTGTCGAGGGGCTGACCATATTTCTGGAATTTTATTCCAGTTCGGCCAAGTTGTTGTGATAAAAAAAAATAGAAACGCAAGTTGAAGTTCTTGAAGCTTGCGTGGGGAATTCTTGGAGGCTTGTACGTGTGCGTTGAGGACCATATCAATTCTGGAATTAACTTCAAGTTTGGTCAGGTAGTTGTGTTAGTCGTTTGACAAGCCAAAAACAAAACAAAACAATAAAAAAAGGAAAAGAGGAGTCGGGTAGAGCAACAATAGAAGGAAAGCCAAAGTTTTATTGCTAAACGGATTCTTTCTTGAATTGTTATTCCCAAAAACAGAAAAAAAATTACAAGAACCACTCAAAAATTTTGACCAACCTCTTCTTGAAAATCTTGATCACCTTGAGCCTTGATTACTTGCACCACCCTTTGAGGTTCTTGGAGTTCTTGATTATCTTGAGCCTTGAACACTTGCACCTCCCTTCGAATAAAAAGTTTCTTGTACGTTCTTGCATCCATACGGGTCTTTCTTGGTTTAGGAACAAATTTCTTGGGAGCTTCTTGGGCAAGTCGTTTGGGGGACCCTTGAGTGACATTACTCACATTATCTTGGGAAGCCATTGTATTGGAACAAGAACCAAATCTATCTTGAAGGGGGGAGGGCCGAATTGCTTGTTGCTTGGGAGTAGAGAGAGCCGAATTTTTGGGGTAAGGTGCGCCCGTGTAGATAGGGTTTTATAAGAGGGTAGCCGACTTTGGGGAAGGGCTTTAAGGAGGAAAATTTCTGGAAATTTGCGGTTGAGGGAGAGAAGGAACCGAATCTGTTTGAGGGAAGAGTTTTGAAGTTGCTAGGGTTGTCATCAAGGGAGTTTCCAACCCAACTTGTTTTTCCAAAATTAGTTTAGGAGACTAACACTTGGATAACTCTTGGACATCTTCCTATATTTTCTCATCCACTTTAGGAAAAAGCCTCCTACATTCCCTCATCCATTCTTGGACACTTCCCTATATTTTCTCCTCCAAATCCATCCTTTCCTTTCCAAAATCTCACCAAATTGTGTCCTACACTCTTGCTTACTCTTGTGGGGGAAAAGTTGGTGACGATTATTGGACTCGAGCGACATTTCTCAACTACCTAAACCAACAGGTAAAGGTACTTGGTAAGTCTAAAAGAGCGATTTGAGTAATATACACGAGCGTGAGTGATACACTAAGGGAGTGAAGTGAGGTTATACTTGCACTTTCTTTGCTTGTTAACCGTTTGCAGGGCATCAAGAAAGACATGGAGCAACAACAAGCAACCACCGATCACTCATTATTGTTCGCCGCAATGAAGAATGAGCTCCGGCGAATCAGTGAGCAACAAATGGAGGAGTTGCACACTCGTTTTGAAGAGTTGTCCAGGAGTCTCACACAAGGCTCTCGTTCGAGATCCCACAACCGGAGTAACCATGGCACCAAAGAGGCACATAGCGAAGACTACTCCGCTAGTGAGGATGAGGAACGACCCGAGAAGCCTAAGAGGGACACGCCCAAGAACGAACTAAAGGGACTTAAGATTCAAGTACCCGCGTTCAAAGGCAAGAGTGACCCTGAGGCATACTTGGAGTGGGAAGGCCGCATCGAAATGATCTTTGACTGCTACGATTATAGTGAGGAACAAAAAGTCAAAGTTGCCACCGTTGAATTCACCAACTACGCCCTAGTCTGGCGGGACCAAGTGAGAACCCATAGGAGGAGAATGGGAGAACCGCAAGTTCGAACTTGGCGAGAGCTCAAGGCATTGATCCAAAAGCGATTCGTTCCAAGCTATTACAACCGAGATCTCCACTCCAAATTGCAAACCCTCACTCAAGGCAACATGAGTGTGGAGGACTACTACAAAGAAATCGAAATGGCCATGATGAGGGCGAACCTTCAAGAAGATAGCAAAGCAACCATGGCTAGATTTCTTCGAGGTCTCAACCCAGACCTTCAAGAAGCCTTAGAGCTTCAACACTATGTGGACATGCATGACCTTCTTGAACTCGCTATCAAGGCCAAGAGGGGAAAGAGGCTAAGGCGAGGAGCCCGTACCTTCCAGTCTTCAAACTTGATCTCATGGAAGGGCAACCAACCACAGAGGGCGACCCACGAAGCTGGATATTCGGCCACACCAACTTCTTCAAACCGAATTCAAGGTAATGCTCCTAACCGAAATTCCAATTCTACCCCTAACAAAGTTATCGATACCTCCAGGTCTACTTCGAAGGCACCACTTGAGACTCCTAAGACTAGGAGTAGGGACATCAAATGCTTTAAGTGCCAAGGGTTTGGACATATTCAGTCTCAATGTCCAAACCAACGAGTCATGCTAATCACTCACAATGGTGAGATCGTGTCCGATGATGACGACTGTGAGGAGATACCCGAATTGATCAAAGGTGACTGCCTGGATGAAGACTCTACTGAGGAAGATTGCTTGCCTACACAAGGGGAAGTAGGGTGCTTGGTGGCACGACGAGTGCTAACCGCCCGAGTCAAGGAGGACGAGCAACTGCAACGGGAGAACCTGTTCTACACCCATTGTAAAGTAGGTGACAAGGTGTGTAGCCTCATTATCAACGGTGGGAGTTGCACAAACGTGGCAAGCTTACTCATGGTTGAGAGCCTAGGGCTTCCAACTACTAGACATCCACACCCTTATCGCCACCAATGGCTGAGTGAGGATGGAGAGGTACGTGTCTTCAAACAGGTACGCGTTCCCTTTTTCATTGGAACTTACACTGACGAAGTTGTTTGTGACGTTGTGCCAATGCATGCTACCCATGTCATCTTGGGGAGACCTTGGCAATTTGATAAACACATCAAATTCGACGGAAGGGCCAACAAGTACACACTCTTGCATGATGGCAAACGCAAGGTCCTCACACCACTCACACCTGCACAAGTGTATGAGGACCAATTAAAGTTGCAAAGAGAGTGTGAACAAGACCGTCAAAGGAGGAAGCAAAAGGCGGTCGATCCTGGCAAAGGCTCCACTTCTGCAAGTGAGCCATCGACCAAGGGTCAAGTGAGCACACCTAGTGTTACACATGACAAATCACCCACTACACCTACCACTAGGAAGCAAAACATGATTATTAAGGCTAAGGACGTTAGGAAAGTTGTCAATTCTGATAAGCCTGTACTTCTCATGATTTGCAAGCATGTGCTTTTAGATGTTGCTGAACTCGATAAGGCATTGCCTTCGAGTATGATTGCTCTTTTGCAGGAATTTGAGGATGTTTTTCCCGACGAGGTCCCTGATGGCTTACCACCCATTCGAGGGATTGAGCACCAAAATCGACCTCATTCCCGGAGCACCACTGCCCAACAAACTTGCCTACTGAATGGGCCCAGAGTAGACAAATGAGCTTCAAAGGCAAGTAGACGGCCTATTAGGTAAGGGTTGGGTAAAGGAGAGTCTCAGTCCTTGTGCTGTGCCTGTGGTACTTGTCCTAAAAAAGGATGGTACTTGGCGCATGTGCACTGACTGTAGGGCCGTCAATGCCATTACTGTCAAATATCGCCATCCCATTCCTAGATTAGATGATATGCTTGATGAACTCGATGGTGCTGTCATATTCACCAAAATTGACTTAAGGAGTGGTTATCATCAAATTAGGATGAAGGAAGGCGATGAGTGGAAAACAGCTTTCAAAACCAAGCATGGTCTTTATGAATGGCTAGTCATGCCTTTTGGGTTGACTAACGCCCCTAGCACCTTCATGCTACTAATGAATCATGTCTTGAGGCAGTTTATTGGCAAATTTGTCATAGTTTACTTTGATGATATTTTGATATAAAGTCGCAGTGAGCATGAGCACCTAGAGCATGTGAGACTAGTTCTTGAGACACTTCGAAAGGCGCGTCTATACGCTAACCTTAAGAAGTGCACCTTTTGTACTAATGAACTCGTGTTTCTGGGCTATGTAGTGAGTTCACAGGGTATCAAAGTAGACAAGTCCAAGATTAAGGCCATCGAGCAATGGCCAACTCCTACATCCGTCCCTAAGGTACGTAGCTTTCTTGGGTTGGCAGGCTTCTACCGATGCTTTGTCAAGGACTTCAGCACCATTGCCGCCCCAATGACCTCCGTGACCAAGAAAAATGACAAGTTCTACTGGGGGGAAGACCAAGAACAAGCATTTCTTACCCTTAAAAATAAACTCACACATGTACCTGTTTTAGCATTACCAAACTTTAACAAGACTTTTGAAATCGAGTGTGATGCTTCTGGTGTAGGTATTGGCACCGTCCTCATACAAGACAAAAGACCTTGTGCCTTCTTTAGCGAGAAACTGGGAGGAGCTGCTTTAAACTACCCAACGTATGACAAGGAGTTGTAAGCCCTAGTGAGGGCCCTGGAGACCTGGCAACACTATCTTCGCCCTCGAGAGTTCGTGATACACACCGATCACGAGTCACTGAAGTTTCTCAAGGGGCAACCCAAGTTAAGAAAGAGACATGTCAAATGGGTAAGCTTCATTGGCACCTTCTCCTATGTGATTAAGTAGAAGACTGGCAAGACAAATGTGGTAGCTGATGCCTTGTCACGTAGACACTCCTTGCTTGCCTGTCTTGATGCTAAGTTATTGGGGTTCGAAATGATTAAGGAACTCTACACACATGATCATGACTTTGGTGACATATATGCTACGTGTGTTAAGAACCCACATGGAAAGTACTTTTTGCATGATGGATTTCTATTTCATGTGGATAAACTGTGTGTGCTTAATTCGTCCATCCGTGATCTTCTGGTTAGGGAGGCACATAGTGGTGGTCTCATGGGACACTTTGGCATGGTTAAGACTCTTGCCATGTTACAAAAGCATTTCTACTGGCCTCACATGCGTCGAGATGTGGAGCACATGGTTGGTAGATGTGTCACTTGTCACAAAGCGAAGTCTAGGACAAACCCATATGGCCTGTATACCCCATTGCCTATTCCCAACTATCCTTGGGTGGACTTGTCCATGGACTTTGTTTTAGGACTCCCTAGGTCACCTAGGGGAAATGATTCCATCTTTGTAGTAGTTGATAGATTCTCTAAGATGGCTCATTTTATTCCCTGTCACAAAACTGATGATGCATCTCATATTGCTAATCTATTCTTCAAGGAAATTGTGCGTCTGCATGGTATGCCTAGGACCATTGTTAGTGATAGAGATGTAAAATTTCTGAGTTACTTTTGGAAGACTTTGTGATCTAAAATTGGCACTAGGTTACTATTCTCCACCACCAGTCATCCACAGAGCGATGGGCAAACTGAAGTTGTCAATCACACACTTGGCACACTACTTCGGGCTTTGATTAAAAAGAATCTTAAAACTTGGGAAGAGTGCTTGCCTCATGTTGAATTCGCCTACAATCGAGCTGTTCACAGTGCTACACACTACTTACCTTTTGAGATTGTTTATGGCTTTAACCCACTGACCCCTCTTGATTTAGTACCCTTACCTTCCTCTGAGCACATAAGCTTAGATGGGAAAAAGAAGGCCGATTTTGTGCGCATGTTACATGAAGCCGTTCGAGCAAACATTGAAAGGCGTACTCAACAATACACCCAGCAGGCTAACAAACACCGTCGCAAGATGATTTTCGAGCCTGGTGATTGGGTTTGGCTACACTTGCGAAAGGAGAGATTCCCCAAGCAACGACAAAGCAAGTTATCCCCAAGAGGTGATGGACCCTTTCGAGTGCTCTGACGAGTTAATGACAACGCTTACAAATTGGAGCTACCTGGGGAATACAATGTTAGCGCGACCTTCAATGTCGCGGACCTGAGCCCATTTCTTGATGGGGACGCTCCAGATTTGAGGGCAAATCCTTCTCAAGAGAAGGGGACTGATGTGTGCATGGGTCAGGGCCCACGCAATGACCCAATCCGAGTCCCATTGGGCCCAGTCACACGTGCACGGGCCAAGCTCTTCAAAGAATCCCTCCAAACCCTTGTTTGAGTTGTCCAAGACCAATATGGAGCCCATAGAGATATTGAAGGCTTAGAAAGAGACAATCAAGTAACTTACACCTTGATCCAAGTCCATGAAGAATCAAGTGGGCCTCTTTGTGAGTCGGCCGAGTAGGGCCTTAGTCTTTATTACTTCTTTAGTTGGATTAGTTGCTTGGTAGAAGATATGGGCCGGCCCATCTTGGAGTCAAGATGGCCGACTCCCTACTTAGGGTTTCTTTTTAGGGTTTTTGTGTTACCTTTAGCCTATAAATAGGCCAGCTTTGTAAGATTAAGGATACAAGTTTTATGAATAAAATTCTTAGTATTTTCGTTTTCTTCCTAAGAGAGAATTCGAGCCTCTAACTTACTTTAGCAAGGGTTCTTGAGCAATCTTGCATCCTGTCCTTGATTGTTCAGCCGACCACCTTCATCGGAGTGTCATTCTACCACTTTAAATCTAAGCGTGCCGTCCGTGTTGATTTAAAGTCCCGCAACCCAAACGTCGGACAACCTCGCTAGATCCTTGGGCAAACGTGCTACGTGTCTCGAAACGAGTTGATCGAGGAACGTATCAGTAACTCAAGAACTTTACATCCCTATCGCTAACAATGGTCTTAAGCATGCCATGCAGACGGACTATTTCTCTGAAGAATAAAGTAGCAATGTGAGATGCATCGTCAGTTTTGTGATAAGGGATAAAATGTGCCATCTTAAAAAATCAATCAACAACAACAAAGATGGAATCATTACCCCTTGGGGACCTAGGAAGTCCTAAGACAAAGTCCATAGACAAGTCTACTCAAGGATAGTACGGGATAGGCAATGGGGTATACAGGCCGTATGAATTTGTTTTGGACTTCGCCTTATGACAAGGGAAACATCTACCAACCATGCGTTCAACATCTCGACGCATGTGAGTCCAGTAAAAGTGCTCTTGTAACTGGCGAGAGTCTTAACCATGCCAAAGTGTCCCATGAGACCACCACTATGTGCCTCCCTAACCAAAAGATCACGGACGGAAGAATTAGGCACACACAGTTTATCCACATGAAATAGAAATCCATCATGCAAAAAGTACTTAAGTACTTTCCATGTGGGTTCTTAACACACGCAACATATATGTCACCAAAGTCATGATCATGTGTGTAGAGCTCCTTAATCATCTCGAACCCCAATAACTTAGCATCAAGGAAGACAAGCAAGGAATGTCTACGTGATAAGGCATCAGCTACCACATTCGTTTTGCCAATCTTGTATTTAATCACATAGGAGAAGGTGTCAATGAAGCTTACCCATTTGGCATGCCTCTTGCTCAACTTAGGTTACCCCTTGAGAAACTTCAGTGACTCGTGATCAGTTTGTATCACAAACTCCCGAGGGCGAAGATAGTGTTGCCAGGTCTCCCAAGACCCTCACCAGTGCGTACAACTCCTTGTCATACGTGGGGTAGTTTAAAGCAGCTCCTTCCAGTTTTTCGCTAAAGAAGGCACAAGGCCTTTTGTCTTGTATGAGGACAGCGACAATACCTACACCAGAAGCATCACATTCGATTTCAAAAGTTTTGTTAAAGTTTGGTAATGCTAAAATAGGTGCATATGTGAGGTTGTCTTTGAGGGTAAGAAATGCTTGTTCTTGGGCTTCCCCCCAATGGAACTTGTCATTCTTCTTGGTCACGACAGTCATTGGGGCGGCAATGGTGCTGAAATCCTTGACAAAGCGCCGGTAGAAGCTCGCCAATCCAAGAAAGCTGCGCACCTCAGGGACGGATGTAGGAGTTGGCCATTGCTTGATGGCCTCAATTTTGGACTCGTCTACTTTGGTACCCTGCGAACTTACTACATAGCCCAAAAACACAAGTTCATTAGTACAAAAGGTGCACTTCTTAAAGTTAGCGTATAGACGCGCCTTTCGAAGTGTCTCAAGAACTAGTCTCACATGCTCCAAGTGCTCATGTTCACTGCGACTATATATCAGAATATCATCAAAGTAAACAATGACAAATTTGCCAATAAAATGTCTCAAAACATGGTTCATTAGTCGCATGAAGGTGCTAGGGGCATTACTAGCCACTCATAGAGACCATGTTTGGTTTTGAAGGCCGTTTTCCATTCATCGTGATACGTTCCTCGATCCACACGTTCGAGACACGTAGCACGTTTGCCCAAGGATCTAGCGAGGTTGTCCAACGCTTGGGTTGCGGAACCTAGAGTCAAACGGACAACACTATTTGACGTAGGTGGTAGACGACACTCCGATGAAGGTGAATACTCCAGGGGAATAGGTCGGTGGAACAATCAAGGACGATCACGAGATTGCTCAAGAACCCTTGCCAATGCAAGTAACGGAATTGTACTCTCCATCTAAGAGAAACAAGAACAAGTTTATTATCATCAAACGGCTTCCTTAAACCTTACAAAGCAAGCCTTTATATAGGCAAATACTAATGAAACCCTAAACCCTAATATCGAAAAGCTAGATGGTTGGCCACTCCTTGGACAAGGTGGGCCGATCCATGGACTCAATAAAGAAGGCCTAGTGGTTCGGCCATCCTTAGACAAAGGTGGGCCGAATCCATGGCTAACAAAAGGACTAATCTAAACTTAAGACTCCTAACACTAAGGCCTAATCGGCCATAGCCCACTTGGCTCTTCACGGGCTCTCTTCATGGGCTTGGATCATCGTGTAGACAACTGGGTTATCACCTTCTAAGCCTTCAATGTCTCGATGAACTCCTTCTTGGTCTTGAACATTCCGTACAAGGGCTTGGAGTGATTCCCTGAATTGCTTGGCCCGTGGACATGTGACTGGGCCCAATGGAACTCGGATTGGGCCATTGCGTGGGCCAAGGTTCGTGCATACATCAGTCCCCTCCTCTTGAGAAGGATTTGTCCTCAAATCTGGATGGAGATGAATGATACTAACGAGGGGTGGGTAGTGTGACACCCAAGTCTCCACATATTGGCCCTCTTAGATTGAAGGATACTTGCATATGTTATGATTAAGATAATTTGGTGCACATGTCTCTTAGTCAGCTTCAAAGGGTTCTCAAACAAGGACATTCTCCAAGGTAGGAAGGAACGTGTATAAGGCTTGTGAACGTTCCAGGTTGCAACCCAAAGCTCGTTAATTAGCCTTCGCACCCGGACATTCACATGCACTTCATAACGATGTTCACTAAAACTAGAAAAGCCTCGAACCTGGTTGTGCAAGGTGGTGTAATTCAGCCCTAGGCACTGAATCGGCTCAACTTGCCACTCTAGAGGCGGGACACTGAGCCACCCGTGTTGCACATCCATAGAAACACGAACCAGTGAGGTAAGAACAGCACTCGGATCTTGATTGACACCCTTGCGGGCATCACCCAACATAAGCGGCAGGAATGAAGTGAAGTCTACCCCATACGAATCACGTGCATTCGCGCAACACGTAGCTGGAACAAGCATGAAATCAGGTTGCAACTCTTTAGTCGTTGTGGGAAAATTTTGGACAGCTTTACAATACTTCTCATCAAAATAATGGGCTCGAATGACTCCTCCAATGGTGCGGACAGGTTTGAATGCAGGTTGTTCCATGGATTGATACCAACGAGATTTAGCTCCTAGGAGACAAACTCCATGGAAACTCGCAAAGTGTCCAAGTGACTTCGGAATGGAACATGCCATGACCAACTCTACTTGACTTTGTGTAACCTGCACAAAAGAAGAGGTACTAAACAAAACACATGTTAGCTGGTTAGCAAACAAAATGGTCACACTTTCAGCCTTTGTAAACACGGCCAACTTCTCCTTTTTACTCTTCACTAAGGCCAAATTATTCTTGTCTTTTTCCACTCCATTCTTCTCAGACCATTGCTCACGCATTGTACATGAGGTTTGATCTTCATTGTCTAGCTCATGTTCATGGCTCAGTTGTAACTCATTCATATTTGGCTCTCCAATCAACGAGGGACTAGGATGAATTTTTCCTTTATTACCACCAGTTGGCACATGGTTAAGTTGCTCCAGGTGTGGATCCAGCACTTGGCTAAGTCTTTCCATCATATCATCAATCAATGCTTTAGTCTGACTTAGGAATTTATCCTTTGATTCACGAAGCTTTGCCTCAATTCGAGAGTTCTCGAACGCCTTGCCTTGATTGTCAAGGCATTTTGGAGATGAAACTTGTTTGCTTGAGGTTGACCTTGATTTAGACGTTCGGCGCAAACTTCTTTGCTCCTTCTCATACTCATCACAATCTTGTTTATACCTGGCGGTACTTCGCTTGGGACATCTCCTCTTGAAAGGTTCGGTCTCCACGAATTCTTGATTGTATGAGCAAGA